GTCTCACAGCTCATCAGTGTGACTAGACATCCGATTGCCTCAAACCGGGATATATATATATATATATATATATATATATATATATATATATATATATATATATATATATATACCGTAACAGCCAAATTGTTCAAATCGTGTAACATCGAAATGTTCCAATTGTTAGATTAAGATTTGAATCGTTGTAACTTTGAAAAGATTAAAGATATCTTACTGGAATTCTCCGAGATTTTTATAACACTATTAGACTCTACTTTGAGCAATAAGAGTGTATAATTACTATCCAAGCTTAAGAGAAGAATCGTGATGAAATGGGTCATGAACGAAAATTACATGTTTATCATTAATTAATCATCAATAAAGATCGGAAGCACATGAAGGATTGAAATAAAGTTCATATATATATATATATATATATATATATATATATATATATATATATAGTGCTGTTCGATAAAAGTGACTCACCTGATTTTTTAACTTAAAAATCTTTCGCCTATTGTTTTTGGGGTCAAACTAATTTTTAATCTTACTAATATAAAGACCCCTTCCACCTAGTAAAAAAGTTTACTCACCCTAAGGTATTCTACTGATAATTATAATTTTGGATATAAATTAGATTTGGGGAAAAACTCTGTGCAAAAAGTGACTCAATTATTTCCTGCAACTAGTAATCAATAGAAACATAACCGAACAGCTTTAAATAAAGAATAATAGAGTTATAATTTATTTATAATGGGTAATATAGTTCGAAATATTTAATAATCTATGGGTCTTCCTTTATTTTGAATAACCTTTTCAACCCTTTTTGGCATTGACTTGATTAGGTTCTGGCAAATCTCATCTCCAAGTGTTGAATTCCATTCGCATATGAAATTCACAATTAAATACACATTGTTGCTCAACTGATTTCTCGAGTACTGCTTTCCCCTGTACTTTATAATGCTCCATAAGTTTTCTATGGGGTTGAGGTCAGGAGATTGGGGAGGCCATGTCATAACACTCACCTGCTTCTCATCAAAGTATTCCTTCATCGATTTTGATTTGTGACAGGGAGCATTATCCTGCATAAAAATGAGCTTGGTGGGGTCGATTTGCACCCTTTCAGCAAAAGGGAGCAGACAAAACTCTAAAATTCTCTTGTACTGCTCGCTCCTGAGGGTCTTTTCAATAGGCTTTAAGAAACCAGTCTCATGAAAAGAAAAGCATCCCCCAAAACAATATGCTGAACGGATGCTTGACAGTACCTACTGCTAAATTCAAAGAGATTTCAAAGCTTCTTCTTCGGATTTTATATCGCTTATCCTTTGAATTTAGCTCAACTTTCGTTTCATCAGAGAAGAGAACATTCTTCCAGTCTTTCTACGGTGAAATCTTTGTAATAGTGAAGCCCATTCAAGTCTCTTGGCTTTGTTGGCTTTGCTTATTAGCGGCTTAAATCTTCGTGTACAAGATTTGTAACCTTGTTCTAACAGCCACCGACGGACTGTTGAAGAGGCAAGACTAACACCTTGCTCTTCGCTTAGACTGGCTGCAATTTCTTGGCTAGTTATAGTCCTATTTTTCGCAACTTCTCTCTTGATTACCCTGCCAGTTCTATCATCAATCTTTTTCTTTCGTCCCCCTGTGTCCTTCTTTGGAGCAGGAGTGGCATTATTATGTGCCCTAAGCACTCGAGAGACAGTTGATTGCGAGGTTATAGCAATTTCTGCAATTTCTATCGTAGACTTGCCTACTTTTGAGAGAGCAATAATAGATGCCTTAAGTCTTTCTGGGTGGCTATTTCAAGCTGTTTTTATACTGTACGAGGCTTTCCGGAATTTGATTTAAGCTGTTCTAGAATTCTCTAGAATATTGTTCTGGGTGTATTGAAAAATAGTTTTCAATATTTTATAAAAAGCTCCTTAAATTTAGAAGTTTAATCATTAGAATGTGATATCTGAGTCACTTTTTTTCCACAGAGTTTTTTCCTGAATTTCATTTATATCCAAATTTATAATTATCAATAGAATACCTTAGGGCGAATAAACTTTTTTCCGAGGTGGTCGGAAAGGGGTCTTTATATTAGTAAGATTAAAAATTATTTTAACCCCAAAAACAATAGACAAAAAATTTTTTTAGTAAAAAATCAGGTGAGTCACTTTTATCGAACAGCACTATATATATATATATATATATATATATATATATATATATATATATATTCAGGATCATTTTTGTCCAAATTATTCTGTAATCTTCTAACTTTCTGTCTGGGAGTAATTAAGTGCCTCGCAGGTTTCACGTACGATTTCATTTTCAAGCCATTTTTACTGTTATGTGAACTGTCATAGCTGAAACTACTCTCACATGTGCCAAACGTCTTATGGATTGAGTTGGATCTTTTCTAATTGATCTCTTTAGCTCTAGGTTGATGATCCCTTTTACTGTTGTAAACCTCTGATCCAGTTTCCTCTCTATTGTTTCCTTTTTTTTTTTTACTTATTCACTGTTCGCTTGATGGTTCTTGAATGGACTTTGAAGATGGAAACCAGAGTCTGAATGTTCGTACCCTAACTGAATACCTGAATGATCATTTTCCTCCCATCATTGCCCAGTTGGTAAGATATAGTGGGGATGACACAAAATCCTGTTCTCTTTCTAGCTAAATAACTCAAAGGATTTTCAGTGATTCTTACGACAAATGAGTGTCACGATGGCTCATCGTCTTATGTGAAAATCCGAAAAAAAGAAACTCAATTAGTTTAGCTGTTTTTTAGATATTAAACCTTATTTAGGATGGGAAATTATGGTGTTTTCACGATTTGGACATTTTTTATGTTACACTCTGTAGTTATATACATACGAAATCTATCTATCTATCTATCTATCTATCTATCTATCTATCTATCTATCTATGTGTATGTATATTTAAATGTGTATCATTGCCTCTATCTATTTATGTCACTATAAGTTGATATAAAGATATGACTAGATAAGAATAGATAGATATGGACAGTGATTCATATATATGACTGACCATATATATCTCACTTTTTGTCTAAGTGTGAGATATGGCGATATGTGAATCAAATGAGATAGATAATATATATATATATATATATATGTATATATATATATATATATATATATAATGTGTGTGTGTATATATATATATAAATATATATCATTGTTTATATATATATATATTGCTGTCAATATCTATCTATCTATCTATCTATCTATCTATCTATCTATCTATCTAAATAAACAGTACACTACAAACTGATACCATAAACAGTTTGAAAAATCCTGCGAATTTTAAAATTAAAATTCATAGTGTGAAAATGGTTATTTACTAGAAGTATCTCAATTCCAATTGTAAAGTGTATATATATATATATATATATATATATATATATATATAGTTAAATTCCCAGATGAATTCTGTGGACACGACAGATTGGTAAAAATGACAATTGGAAAAAATCTTAGATTTTGCCGACGCGTTTCGTCTTCCGATTTTTCAAAAAAAATGAAATCGAAATGTTTTTATTGTTATAGTTACATTAAAAAATCCAAATTTAAAAAGATAAACGGTTCTGTAATGTAATTATAACAGCAGAGACATTTCGATTTCATTTTTGCCTTGAAAAAGTCGGAAGACGAAACGCATGCGGCAAAATATAAGATTTTTCCAATTGTCATTTTATACCATATATATATGTATGTATATATATATATATATATATATATATATATATATATATTATTGTTTATATATATATATATAAACAATAATATATATATATATATATATGTACATATTATTGTTTATATATGTATATATATATATCTGTCAATATACATCTATCTATCTATCTATCTCAATTCTTATCTAAGAATCGAGTGAGATAGATGATTAATAGTTATGGACACACACACACACACACACACGCACACATATATATATATTTGTTTATTTATATATATTTATATGCGTGTTTGTGTGTGTTTCATGTATGTGTACAAGTGTTTGATTTTGGGGATATAATGACTATAAAAATTGTCCAAATGTTGAAGCATGAAAAGTCATAATCTCACAAGACCTGAAGTGACAAAAAAAAAAAAAAAGAAAAGGAAAAAGAATAATAACATAAGAGAGACAAGATTGTTATATTCACTTACGCGACAATTCCTTTTGGCAATGGTATTACTTCATTTCCGACCGCAGCCATGTTTTAAATAGTAGAACATATGGGAAGATCACTGTTATCTCTAAAATAAATTGTTAATGCATTATTCACTAAAGAATAATTACTAGAATCCAAAACATATCTTGTCTTTAAATAAACCACAAACGGTTGCTAAACCGTAAAGAAACAAATAAATCAGTCAATCAACCACGATAGAGAAACATCATTTTAGGTTTTTGTGGACTAAAGGGTCACCTAAAACAGCGAACAAATTTTCAAAATACTTCGTATTGTCTGGTCAAAATTTTCTTTACACTCACAATAAATAAGTTAAGAATCCAAATCTTTTACGTCAAATGAATTGTAATCTGTAATTATTTTCAAAGCCTCTACCACTCACATTGGCATCGTTTCAAGCGTAATTCATACTTGGAAGTGAATTTCAAACGGGGATTAAGTGAGTAGACTTGGGAAAGTTCATATGCACAATGGTTGTCGACAAGTTAAAGTTAAAATAGAAAGACGTGAAAAAATGACTGGTTCAATAGAGTTAAAATATCTGGAGAATCGAATTTAAAAATATGCAAACAAAAAAAAAGAAGCTCAATTTGATAATGATAATATCAAGAAATCTGAGAGGCTCTATAATAGCGAAATAAAAACAAAATTTTTTTAAGCTAACGTGATTTCATTAAAGCATTTATTCACGGACTGGTATGACGATGCTTGTCTGATAAACTCCTTTCAAAGGAATTGGTATAAGAAATATTGCCATTGAAATATAGAACGTTTGACAGGACATGTATTTAGGAACAGAAAGAGGAATCACGAGAAGAAGAAAAAGTAAAAGGAGAAGTAAGAAGGGGGGAAAATAAAAGTTGTATAAGGAGCGGGGAGAGAAAAAGTAGAAAAAGAAAGAAGAATGAAGAGGAATGTAAAGAATCTAGAAGTGACGAAAAAAAAAGTCAGAATTACAAAAAAAGAGGAGGAAGAAAAGGACAAAGAAAAGGGGAAGAAGAGGAAATAAAAGAATAGAGAAAAAGGAGGGGAAGAAGAAAAAAAAAAAAAAAAAAAGAAGGAAGAATCAGAAAGAGGACCGAAAAGCGAAAGAGGAAAAACAAAGATGACAAATGTGAGAAAGAAAGAAGAATGCAAAGAAAAAGAAGATGAGGAATACAAAGAAGAAGAAGAAGAAGAAGAAGAAGAATGCAAAGAAGAAGAAGAAGAAGAAGAAGAGGAAGAAGAAGAAGAAGAAGAAGAAAATGGGTAGAAAGGAAAAGAAAAAAAGGAAGAAAAAGATAAAAGAAAGTAAATTGTAGAAAAGAAGAAAAAATAAAATAAAAACGAAAAAGAAGGAAAATGAGAAAAAAAAAAGAAACCAAGAAAGAAAAAGAACGACGCCAATGAAAAAGAAAAACAAAAAGACGAGTACAGAATTAAGTGCTGATTTAACCCTTTATTTTTAATTTTAATGTTCCCGTTTAGCTCAGTCACGAAGATATTATTAATCCTTGATGCTGGAGGCCATATTTGAACGAATGAAATGACGAACGTTGTCAGAAAATGACCGCTCAATTATTGAATTTCTTAATAAGGTTTTCTCTGCCTGCCAGCATTTCATGGTAAGGTAGGTTGAATTTCCTTGACGATTCGTGTATCGAAATGAACTTTGAAATAATTTTTATAACGAAATACACAGTGCTTTTTCGATGCAAACCTTCTATTGAAGTTCCTTGACGTTGGCTCGTAATTGAAAATGAGAGAGAGAAAGAGAGAGAGAGAGAGAGAGAGAGAGAGAGAGAGAGGCAGGGAGAGAAGTGGAGGGGATAGAGAGGCTAATAGAGAGAATGAAAAGTAAAATGACGGCGAGACAAAGGAATTAAAAAATAAAGGATGCTTAAAGAAGAAGAAGAAGAAGAAGAAGAAGAAGAAGAAGAAGAAGAAGAAGAAGAAGAAGAAGAAGAAGAAGAAGAAGAAGAAACTTGTCAGAAGTACGAGGGAATTTTAACGCAGTAGCATAAATTGTGTAAAACAGACGAGGCGGACAAAGAGAGAATGAAAGATAGTGGGAGAGGAAGAAAGAGCGCAAGAGAGACAGAAGGAAAGAGAGTGTGAGAGAAAAAAATATAAAGCGAGGAAGGAAGATAGAAAAAGACAAAGTAAAAGAAAAAGAGAGAGAGGGTGTAAGCGGATGGACGAACGGGAGAAAAAAGAGAGAAAGAAAGGACGAGAAAAGTCGAAGAGAAGAATAAAGTTAGAAAGAGTGAGGGAAATAACTAAAAAGAGGGCAAGAAAGAAAGAAAGAAAGAAGATAAAACGACAGAAAGAAAGAAGGAGGGTGGAGAAGAAATAGAGAGAAAATAATAGAGGGAGCGAATAAAAAAGCGATAGAAATAGAAAGAGAACAAAGAAAAGAGAGTGGAGGTTCGGGTTTAAAATGAAAGAAAATGATCGAGAGAGAGAGAGAGTGGAAAGCACGAGAAAAGAGAAAATGAGAGGGATTGAGCAAAAAAGAGAGGTATAGGGTAAAAGAGAGAGATAAAGAGAGTGAGTGAACGAAAAAGAAAGAGAAAGAGGGAGAGGATGTGTAAGAGAAAGAGAGAACGAATGAAAGAGAGAGAGAGAGAGAGATTAGAAAAAAGAGTGAGAGAGAGGCAGTGGACAAAAGGGAGCGAGGGAAAAGTGTATGAAAAGAAACAAGACTTGATTGATAGGTAAGAAACAAAAAAAATAAAAAAATAAAGCAATGCCGATCATTAATATAGGCATTGATATCTTGTAAGTTTAATAATTTCCCCAGAAGATTTGACAACAATAAAGAAAAAGTTGCATTACTAATGTTATGAGAAAGTAAAGGGAATATTTTATTGCTCGAATGATTTTATATGGCAAGGCTAATAATTGACATCAGACGTGAATATTAAAAATATATATGATCAAATACAAAACTGTATTAACAGCATAAAAGTGTGTTTCTGAAAAATGCCATTTATCCAGAGGGTATACCCTACCCCCCCCCAAAAAAAAAAAATCTACTAAGCCCAGTTAAAAGCTAAAAAATCAGAGTAGGCAAAAACTCCCCATTTGACAGATTAGCTAGTTCAACGTTCATAATTTTTTCTTCAGTTTGGTTATATGTCAGACGAACCTTGATTAAATAAAGCCGCCTTTTTTCTTGTTACTATTAAAGTTTATCAAATACAAGGCTCTTGAGCCACTCAAGGTAGTGGGTTACTGATGGTTATGATGAATGAGCTGTGTGATATGAATGAACGGAACACCAGTTTGAAGATCAAAGTTGGCTAGAAAGTATGGGACCGTGTTATGGTCCAAGGTTAGGAACAAGGAAGAACAACACGAGCACAAGAGTAGAAATAACGAAGGTATTTTACAAGAAATACAAGATGTGGAAGGTGCTAGTATGACTGTCAGTCTGGTTTGGAGTGAACTACTATCGGCTCGACTCGATTCGTTCCTCTCTCTTGAGAGGCGTAGTATTATATAGTGTTAGGAAGAGTTCATTCTGTAGTTATAGGTATGTAGTTATTGTATGTTTAGTTTTAGGCACTGACTTTGTCTAATGGTTCTTGCATTATCTGCATTGTATGTATTTTTTTATATATTGTGTTTGCATTTATCATAGTGGTATTTTACAAGGTGTGTCGTTTTTCGGTTTTCGATTTTTTAAGTAACGTAGTAAAAATCTGTTTTCATGTCTACCTTTATATATATTTATTTATGTATATAAGCTTATTTGTATATACATACATATATATATATATATATATATATATATATATATATATATATATATATATATATATATATATATAATAAAAGGCTTAAACACTAATATTCCATGGTCAAAAAAACTCCTCTCTGTTAAGTTTTAATCTCCCACTTTCTCTCGTCTGTTACCCCTCTCTTTAGCTCTAACATTCGTCCCACACTCTCATACTTACACTCTCTCTAAATTCTATTTTTTATTTCCGGAGTTGTTTTTTCTGTTTTCTTTTTGAATTTGTAGGTCTGATGAATTGGATCGTATTTACGATTCCAATGGAATAAATTATGACCATGGAATATTAGTGTTTAAGCCTTTTTATTATATCCTTACTCTGTCCTGGACATTGAGTTCTACCTGGATTCTATCCTCTTGGAATTTTTTATTAAAAAATATACATGTATGTGTATGCACCTATGTATATATATTCATATATTTTGCATATGTATGTGTATATTTACCACTAATATTATCTATCTATCTATCTATCTATCTATCTATCTATCTATCTATCTATATATGAGTGTATATATATAAACACACACAGACACACAGACACACACACACACATATATATATGTATATATATATATATATATATATATGTATATATACATATATAAAGAGAGAGAAAGAGAATAAAAGAGTGATGAAGGCGGACTGAGACTGAGAAAAGGAAAGATGCAAAAACGGCCGGTCTCAAATAGAGAAATAGTAAAAGACGGACTGAGTTCGTGATAGAGAGAAGGTATAAGAGAAATAGAAATGAAGTTTGAGAGAGAGAGAGAGAGAGAGAGAAAGAGAGTGTCTGAAATAAAGTTTGAGAGAACTAGAGAGAGAGAGAGAGAGAGAGAGAGAGAGAGAGTGTCTGAAATAAAGTTTGAGAGAACTAGAGAGAGAGAGAGAGAGAGAGAGAAAGAGAGTGTCTGAAATAAAGTTTGAGAGAACTAGAGAGAGAGAGAGAGAGAGAGAGAGAGAGAGAGAGAGTCTGAAATAAAGTTTGAAAGAACTAGAGAGAGAGAGAGAGAGAGAGAGAGTAGGAGAAAAACGAAGATCGAGATGAGATAGCAGGAGAAAGCAGGAAAGTAAGACGGACTGAAACACCAGGGGAGTTAGAGAGGGAGAGGAAAAAAACAGAGAGAAAAAAGAGAGAGAGAAAAAAGAGAGAGAGAAAGAGAGACAGAGAGAAAGAGAGACAGAGAGGAAGAGAGATAAAGCTAAAGAGAAAGAGAGAGAGAGTGAGAGAGAGACAATGATCGATATAGAGATAGCTGGAGAAAGTGAGAAATAGACGGACTGAGAGAGCAGAGAAATGTGAGAGAGAAAAAAATTAGAAGAGAGAGAGAGAGAGAGAGATAGGGAGAGAGTCAGAGAGAGAGAGTGACCTAGAGAGAGAGTGACCTAGAGAGAGTCTGAAATCAAGTTTCACAGAGCTAGAGAGAGAGGGAGAGAGAGAGAGAGAGAGTGTGTGTGTAGGAGAAAGACAAAGATCGAGATGAGATAGCAGGAGAAAGCGAGAAAGTAAGACGGACTGAAACACTAGAGGAGTTAGAGAGGGAGATATAAAAACAGAGAGAAAAAAAAGAGAGAGAGAAAGAGAGAGAAAGCTAGAGAATGAGAGAGAGAGTCAGAGTGAGTGAAAGACAATGATCGATATAGAGATATAGAGATAGCTGGAGAAATTAAGACGGACTGAGAGAGCAGAGAAATGTGTGTGTGAGAGAGAGAGAGAGAGAGAGAGAGAGAGTGAGAGAGGGGGAGAGAGAATCCTTTTCATCGCAGATGTCTTGGATTACAGACCCATTAAATGATTTTTATAATCTTTAGTACTTTTCGATTGCAAAATACTTGCACATTAAACATAGAAAGAATAGCTGTTCCCAGTTATAAAATCAATTTATGGCAAATCCAATAAAACAATTGCTTCTCAGCAATTTCAAAAGATTTCTCCCCTCTTATCCTAGCAGTCATTTCGATTGGAAAAAGTCTCGCTTCGTCGCTGTTAACTGGTAAAATCTCTCCGTTCACTGATTCGATTGTCCAACGTTAATATCAATTAATGGTCTGTCAAATGGATTTTCATTAAATCATCTTCATTTATTTTTCTTAGTAAAATAAATTACTTGTCTGTTATGTATCAATTCTAGAAATGAATTCCCAAACCTGAAGTGTCTTTTGGAGGGCCTCTCGTGTATTGAATATCGAAAAATGTCTGGTATTTAGCGGCTTCAAAATAGGTTCTTAAGGTCATCGACAGACATTTGAAGCTAATTTTGTTTACTTTGATCTCTATTTAATCTTAGTCAAAGGCTTTTATTTCCATCTCATCCTTTTATTTCGGCGGCATTAGAACATTTCAATGATCTATTGCTTTTCTTTATTGATGTAGAAACGCGTAAGTAACAGTCTGTCCTTTAGTCTGAATTAAAGACGAATCAAAATCAACATTATTCATCTGCGTAAAACCTTTTAATTCTAATGCTAATCAAATATTTCTGTTGCTATAATTAAAGTAAAATATTACTTCAAATGACATTAGGAAGTACGAAGAAAAGGGATACTAAAGAGGTACATATGGACTAAAATCGCTCCCAGCTAAGCGAGCATTTTCATTCATATTCTCGAATTGATATACAGATATTATCTGGAACAAATACACTATTGTAGATACATAGACGGCACTTTTCAATATGGACGCATAGCGAGCACTCTCTACATCAGCGCTTTAAAATTTTTTTTTTCATTTATGACCCGATTTTTCATTACGAGATTTTTCGCGACCCTAGGTATTAACCAACTACACTGAAAATATACTAGTTGCAATGGCACCGCACGCACGTTTTATTACTGCAGCGCATGCGTAGCGAATTACGTTAAATATTGCGCGTTTGTGAAATCATACTTATTATAAAACCCAAGTTGTGTGTGTGTGTGCGCGCGTGTGTGTGTATCTGTAAGTTTATATATTGGATCGGATTTCCTACATTTTTCAACTTGACAGGACTACGTAAAATTACCTTGCGGTGGTTCTGACAGCGCCAAAAATGGGAAAAACACAATTGTTTTTGCACGAAATCAATTTGAAAACACGATTAAGAGGCATCGCGAGAATGAAAGGGGGACAGCTCATATCGAGTTATACTTATTATAAAACCCAGGTTGTTTTTGTGTGTGTGTCTTCCTTTATATATGGGATCGGATTTCCTACATTTTTCAACCGATTTCAACAAAACTTCACTTTTTTTTGGCAGGTAGTGTTTCTTATTGTCTTGCACGCTTTTTTCTTTATTTTTACATTTAGAATGCTTTAAAAATTTCATTTACAAGGCAATTGTTTATAATAAAATTCTATTCAATTGATAGACTCATAACGATTGAAAACAATGTTTTTGTTTGAGTTTGGGTTTTACCAATTCGTAAAAAAAAAAAAAAAAAACTAATTAAGACATGCGTGTCCGTCAACCTTAAATAATAATCTTTGTCAATTTTATTTTTAAGTCTTTATGATGGTGGATACTTGATCTATCTCTTAATGTTACATCCCCGGGAAACGCCGGGCTCTACTGCTAGTAACATATAAACCGAAATTCAAGTGACTGAATTTAATTTTTACGACCCCACCCTATTTCGGGTCGCGACCCATGGTTCAAGAAGCGCTGCCCTACATGATTTAAATGCATATATAAACAATTAACATAGGAGTATAAAATGTTCTTCTACAAGTATTCCCTTTTTAGAGGTGTTAGTAAACTTAACCAAGAATAAGATCTTCGCAAGCTTCAGGGTTATGGAATTTCAGGTCGATTGTCTGATTTAATACAATAATTCCTGTCAAACCGTGTATTGAAGGTCGTTCTCAACGGATTCTCCTCCAGCTCCTATCTCACGAACACAGGTGTTCCCCAAGGCTCTATCCTAGGCCCGACTCTGTTTCTTATCTTCATTAACGATCTTCCTGATGTCATAGGTTCCCAAGTAGGCATCTATGCGGACGACACTTCTGTTTACTCCTGCCTCAAAAACAAATCGAGTTTCGCTGACAAAACTAACCTGACCATTTGTCTCGAAAAGGACCTCCAATTGGTTGTCGACTGGGACAGGAATTGGCCAGTTAACTATAATGACTCAAAAACAAAACTGCTCTCTGCTATTCACCACAGAGAACCATTCTTGCTTCCCATTAGAATGTCTAACGCTCAACTCCACGAGAGCACCTCTTTGTGACTGCTCGGTCTCACATTGTCTGCTGACCTGAGATGGAACAAATACATTGAGTCAATAGCTTCGTCCACTGCATGGAAAGTTGGCTGCCTGTGCCGCGCCAGGAAATTTTTCTCGCCGGAGTCGATCCTTCAAATCTACAAATCAACCATTCACCCTTGCATCGAGTATTGCTGCCAGATATGGTCTGGAACCCCTTTTGTTTGTCTCAAGGTCCTTGATAAAATCCAGAGACGGATATGAAATGTAGCTGGCCCTGATCTGGCATCTCGTCTCTAGTTGCTCTCTCACACACGTGCCGTCGCTCCCTCTGTCTTTTTTTTTTTTTTTTTTTTTTTACAAATACTGCTCCGATGAGCTGCTTTCGCTGGTTACCAGACTTCATGAATTTAAGCGTTCAACTAGGCTGGCATCTCGCTCTCACCCTTTCACTGTTGAAACTGTTAAATGTAGCCGTCTCTTCTACTCCAACAGCTTCATGTCTCGCACTTCTCGCCTGTGGAACTCCCTCCCCTTTTCTTGTTTCCCTGATAGCTATAATCTCCAACTATTCAAATGTAATGTCAATCGACGTCTCCAGATGCCTTGATCTATCCTCTATCCTTCTCTTTATCCTTTCCTCTATCACTCCTCTTTGCTCTTGCTCCAACTCTCTGTAACCCCTTGCGTGCTAGTGGCTCCCCGCCTTGCTTGAGGTGAAACGCTTAAAAAAAGTCACTATTATTTAAATTTTGACAGTTGTCGCCCAACCAATCTAAAGAAATCCATAATCTATAACCAATACATACGCATTAAAAGAATTTGTTCGGATCCAAAGGACAACGATATACATTTAGTCTTGTTAACAGATTTCTGAATAGAAACTATCCCTTATAAATAATCAAAGTATCTATTATCGAAAAAGACTGCCACAAACTAGAAATAGTCTCTCAGTGTAAAAAATAAAGCACATATCTCACGAATATCCAAATTATAATAAAAATAAATTGTCTCATTCAGTCAAAAGAGATTTCCTGAATCATAAACTACCAATTCTTCTAATTGAGAAGGCATTTATTGAGTCTTTACTTAATGCAGGACGACAAGCATTCGATTTAAATATCACCACTCAGATCTTCCGAACTGATACAACCAAATGCACCTCGAGGCAATTATACATGCAATGAACGATGCCAAAGGCGTAAGCACATTGTCACCGATAAAACTTACCTTCTTTCAGGAACAGAAGTGAAAATTCATCATGTACAGGTCGAATATTTATATGATTTTCTGCAATGTTTGTAACGGAGGCAATTATGTTGGTGAAAGAGGCTCTGAATTCCGTGGCTGATTAGGAACAACTCTAAATATTATACTGTAGCACAGCATTACAGCCTACTGAACACATAGTAGAGACAATCTTCGATGCATCTATCGAACTACTTTTTTTATTTCTCAAACAATCGTAGAAAAACTTAAAGCAATTTCATTCTGAAATACCCGCCATCTTGGATTAAATAAAAACTTAGGAATTCTCAATGATGATATATATATATATATATATATATATATATATATATATATATATATGAAGAAATATTGTTTGAAGGTGTGCTATATTTATGGGATAAAGTGCTCAATATCAGAGATAGAGCGTATGTAAATACAGATATAAAAGTGAACATTGAAGTCAAAACTCAGAGGCGACAGGCTGTTTCATGCTAGATGCAAAAGACAGGCCTGACGATTACGTCCAGCATGAAACAGCCTGTCGTCTTTTATATATCTATGTCTCTCTCTCTCTCTCTCTATATATATATATATATATATATATATATATATATATTATTTGTTATTAATAGTTAGACAAGGCTGACTATGTATTAAACATGTTTATAATTTCCTCTATGTGTCTACTTTCATGACTATTTTCTGACCATATATATGCATCCATATGGAGGATTATTTATTGTAGGTTTATTTAGGGAATTTTTTACTTTACTGCCTCGACACAGATATATTACAAACAGGAATATATACAGAGAAGTAGAAAGTGTTAGTACGAACAATCAGTTTTAGTAGGGAGAGCAATGTAGTCTCGACCAGTATCACTATTCCAATGTCTTGTAGTAATTGTCGGAACGTGACTCTGTTTCGGACTGCCTCTGACTCGACTGACTGACTCGCTCTGACAGACTCCTGACGGACTTCACTCCAGACTTCAGACTGAACGTTATTTAGTCACCCAACCCCCACGAGGGCATCATGTGGCACAAGGCCATTTTAACGTGGGATATCCGAGTCCGTGGGCTCGGCCAAAAATATTCCCTTTGAACCCGTATAAACGGGTTCAGGGTCGGTTTACATCTCTGAAAGAGACTCTGCCCTTCGGCGTAGCCTCGTTCGGGTTCCTCTCCGCCCGAAGGCAGAGAGTTCAACCGATCAGCCGGTCGTCCGACTTCAGGCTGAACTCTCTGCTTCCTCTTGAGGCGCAGTATTTATTACGTATGGAATAGTCCATTATGCTATTATGGGTAAGGTCCCATAACAATTTTTATCTTATTCAGCCTTTATAGT